CTTCCTTCCATTTGCCTTGCAGCCACCTGTTAAAGAATCTGGAATCGAAACAGCCATTTCTGTTGACAGAGACTGAGAATCTTACCAATAACTGTGACTTCCCCACTACGCTTAGCGCTGTGTCCCTGCTTATTCTTAGCAGAACAGGTGTACACGCCTGCATCTGTCGCTTTCTGTACCGGTGTGATTACCAGCATACCGTCACCTTGCACTTTCTGGCGTAGATCATCCGGCAACTCCCGGCCACCTTAGAACAGAGTCAGGTCCTAACTGTTTACTTTACTGTAATACTGTAACACACAGATACACTGTACAAGGGACTGCAACTGGCTTCCTGCATTAATGTGAAGTACTTGCATATTTACTGTAACATTCTCCCCCTTATAACTCAGTAACTTGAGAATAAGACATAAGAAATGAAAGAGACTGTATCAATAACATTAACACTGATGTTACTTCTTGACTCAAATTACGTATGCATTACTTGTGCAGAGCTGTACAACATTCTGAGTATGCTTGCTGCACAGGTTACTGCTTACATATAACATTTCTTTTCAGTTATATCTCAAGGCCCCCACACGACACAGAGACCATTCCTGTATCAGAAATATACTGAACTGGGTGCTGTGTGTGGAAGTATGAGGGTTCAAACTTTAATAGTGGCAACACTGCTGTAGAGACGCCATGCAATGGAACCAGATTATGTCGCTTATACCACACGTTAGTTACATACCTACCTTACCTCAGAGCAAATGGACTCTCCCTTCCCACATCACGCGCACGTGCAGTGACGAGAAGAACAGAGCCTCACGTTAGGTGGCGGTCTAATGTAGTGTTGTCACGATGTTCTCGAAACAGGAACAACGGAGTTGGATAAAGATTGAATGTGCCAGAGGCCGTACAGCAAGACAGTGTCATCAAGGTCTTCAAGAGGCTTGCGGGGAATCTGCATTGCCTTACAGAACAGTGGCAAAGTGGGTAAAAGCCTTCAATGAGGGACGCCAAAATGTGGCAGACATGCATCGGCCAGGTCATCCTAGTGTCAGTGAAGAAGTGTATGCTCTTTATGCGTTACTGGGGAGAGATCGACGCCATACAATTCGTGAGCTTACCTGAGAGACAGGATCAGCGCATACGACTGTGCTTCACATTCTGAAGGAATGCCTGGGCATGAGAAAAGTTGCATCACGATGGGTTCTGCATGATTTGACAGAAATGCAGAAATGGCTACAATACGACGCCATTCGTAACCACTTGGAGCACTAAGGAGAGGCTTTCTTACACCGTATCATTATGCTGGATGAGTCATGGGCCAAATCATACGAGCCACAAATGAAACGCCAATCAAATGAATGGCGTCATTATGGGTCACCACGAAAATCAAAAGTTCATCAGAACCCCAGCAATGTGAAAGTTATGGTGATTCTCATGTAGGACTGTGCTGGTGTTATCCTAACACATACTGTTTCCCAACAGCAGACCGTCAATGTGCAGTATTACTCTTCATTTTTGGAACACAACCTGCCACCAGATTTGAGAAAGATGCGGCAACACTTTCTGCAGAAACCACCCATCATTTTGCAGGACAATGCTCAGCCATATGCAGTGCAAGCTGTGGCTGATTTGTTTGATCACTGGGGCTGGGAAGTGCCGTACTATCCACCATACTCCCCAGACTTAAGCCCTTGTGACTTTGACTTGATTCCTAAGATGAAGGAACCACTTCGTGGCATTCGCTTCAGAATTGTTCCAGAGATTCTTCAGGCAGTAGACCGCTCCATTCGAACTATCAACACGACAGGCGCTTCTAAAGGTATCCTACGACTTCCACATCACTGGCAACGGGCTGTACACAATGCTGGTGACTACACTGAAGGACAGTAAACTTCGAAACATGCATCTATTTTGTATCAGTTGTAAATAAATAGCTGCCACTATTAAAGTTCCAACCCTTGTATGATCAGTTCATTCAAGACATGGCCCTTAAATTCACCATTACAGATGTTGCCTTCATATCAGAGAAAATCTTTGATACTGAGGACATTAGCTGCATATAAGGCCACAATATATGTGCTACAACATCAACTGCTCAATAAAAGCACCTTTAGAAGTGTTCAATGGCCATTTCTTGAAGTTTGTGCTTAGACTGTGGTAGTCCTTCATATTGTCGTTAACAGGTGGCAGCACAAGAGTGTCACTGTGTGGTTTGGAGCAACTTGCTTGGTACGTACATGCCAGATCACATGGGTTCTGATTCAGTAGGTGCGTGTGGTGTGCCTGTCTAGAATTATCATGTGAATGGGTCACAACAAACAACATACTGTGCCTACACTTGGAACATAACCTTACTTCTTTCCCACCGGATCTCCTCAATGGGGTAGCCTGCTACAGGGCACTTGAGGTGCAGTGTCTCGCCTGCCACAGCAGTCACCTTGGGGATCAGCCTGATGTACGGCAAACCTGCAGAACACAAGCAGTCAGTGTCAGCAAATGTGTCTGCCTTGCTACTTTGGTGTCTCATTGACTTCACAGAAAATTCCTCCACATCATTGTCCTATACCACACCATTAAAAACTGACATTATTTTCCTTTGTGTTTTACAAATATTCTCCAAAAATATTCCAAACAAAACTGCTTACTCCAATGAAATCTACATTTCATTTCCTATACAACTAGTTTTTCAATGAGCCATTTTTTAGAAAATGCACAAGGAAAGTTTTATTTAGTTTCTCATTAAGTGGGAGTTCATGATTACTCGGTTTCTGGTCACAGTCCACTGTTGGGGAGTCTGAAGAGAAGAACATAATGTTTAATAGTGGATGCTTCTGTCTTCTAGTCCGTCTCAATCACTGGTCCCAACTAAGTGGGTCCCTTCTGACAGAAACAGGTTCAGTCCTTCAAACACTGTACACCCCTCAGAATATCTTCTGTGCTGTCTGTAAGGAGACTGTACGAGTATAGGCTAGAGTCCAATGGCATCATGGCTGATTAATGATGAGATGAAATCGAAAGGATTTAAACAAAACTGGTACTATCCCAGAATCTGCATGGAGGGACTGAAGAAACCATAAAATTTCAGCCAGGAGTCTGGTGTCCCAGCCGAGATTCAAAGCAAACACATCCTGAACACTACTGAAGAGTGTTACCGTTCAGTCAGAACTCTGCAGAACTAAAGCAAAGGTTATGTAATGCAACATGGAACTCCCAGACAGCTTTCAGTATATGTTCCAATCCATTCCGAACTGAATCAGAATGTGTTTAGGTCACAAGACGAAATGCTTGGACAGGTGGACAGACGAAAAGGAACAGTTGTTGCCCAGTCCCTACTTTGCAACAGGATAGGGGGATACTGGGAACACTGACTGGGATGGAGCCTGGAGGAGTGGAGGGGGCAGCCAACAGATCTTGGGCATTGGCATCGAAAACCAAGTAATGTACTGTAATGAATAAAAGTTTCAGGGACAGATCAATAAAGATCGTTTTATCACCAGCGATCAGCCGATCGGTCAGCTTCACAGCTGAAGGAATATGACACGACCATTTATCTGGACCTGCTGCGGCGGTCATCAGGACTGAACATTTGAATATAACAGATAAGGGATTACTGTTAATTGGGGGGAGGGGGGTGCATCGACCGAGCCACACATTTCAGTCAGAATGAAAACAAACAGAGATGCAAATTAAACGATGATGAATATTAATGAAATAATCGTTAATGCAGGCGCTCATATTTATGCATTTCACCATTCGCATTTACTCTGCAGAAGGGGACATCAATGGAGAAGGAAACATGGCTGCCGCTTCGTACTGGCGAACTTTTAAATCTTCTGTGATAAGAACGAGAAATATTGTCCAGAAATTTCTGGACACTTCTGAGAGCGACGCTGGCAAGACGTGCCCCTCCACTCTTGCACATGAACTCTGTAATTGGCACAGGGAACTGACATGAGCGCCACTCGCCGCCACTTTCGACACTCGGACATGGGCCACGCCCTGTAAGCAGTTTCTCATAGCAAAACTTTAATAGTGTTAAGCTGCATTAGATAGAGGGACCACGGATCGTACAGTCATTACAGTGACTATGTCATGGGCCGGACGACCGAGGTATCGATTCCTGGCAGTAAGGACTTCTCTCTTCTTTGCAGTGCCCAGCTGAAGCCTATTTGACCTCCTATTCAACTGGGACTGCTGGTGTATTCCCCAGGGGCAAGGCGACCGGGGCATGAAGCTGACCGCTCGTCTGAATTTAGTGCAGACGTTTAGAATCTGTGGAACTACACCTCCATACCTCTTCATGGCGTGATCATTGCTTGCTCAGGGGTGACTACGTGCTGAGTGTTATGTTGCTAGCTGTGGTGGGACTGAGTCCATTGTATAAGCCGACCAGATGTGCCCATATGAACTGCTCTGGGAAACGCTACCACAGGGGACTAGCAAGTGCCACTGCGGGATGCCTACACAAGGGGCGCAGGAATGGTGGAACCGGCGTGTTACAGAAGAAACGCGAGAGGGTGGGGAAGTGGGCAGACCATGGCAAAGACAGCCCCTGGCCTCATGAGCTGTGCCCCGATCTCAGTCTGCGTTCCCTCCACAGCATGAGCTCACCACACATTACTAGGATGGGTTAAGTGGAATGTGTAGCACGCATGGGTGACATGAAAAATACCTGAAAAATATTGGGAAAGACTGAAAGGAAAAGGCCTCATGGATGACATAGGAGTAGATGGGAGGATGATATTAAAATCATCCTTGGAGTAATGGGGGTAGGAGGGTGAGGACTGGATTCATCTGGCTCAGGATATGGGCCAGTAAGAGGCTCTTGTATACATGGTAATGAGCCAGCCTTCGGGGATCCATAAAAGGAGGGAAATTTCATGACAAGGTGAGCGACTATTAGCTTCTACAGAAGGACTCTGCCCAATGGAGTGTGTTAGTTGGCAATTTCCTTGCGGCGTTCATGCTGTGACTATACGCAAACCGCATTAAGCGGTGTAAAATAGGGCCTTGTCACTTGAACCCTTCAAAGCACAAAGGTAACTACATGTACAGCCTGCTTTAACATTAGAAATACTCTGTACTCTGCTCACAAGCTGTATTTACGTGTTCCATATGTTTCTCACAACAGAGAGTACAGCAATAGCCGGCTGGGCGTTGCTATGGAGACGGAGTGTTTCCTGTGAGGTACGGACCGGTGTTCCCTCGAGGTCTGATGGGGATCAGCTGCTTCAGGCAGGTGAAGAGGTAAGGGGATCTTTTATTCGACTGGGCGGGGAACAATCACATTGTCGTCTTGACACCATGCAGTCTGGTATGTGGGTACCAGTATCTTCAGGACAGAAGTGAGGTAAGATTGAAATGAGTCTGGTGGGGGAAAGAACGAACTGCACAGTCAGTAACTGTGTGCTGAAGGTGAGCACCACCAGGGCAAATGGATTGGTCCACGGCCATCCAGGTCACCTGACCTCTGCATGTGAATGTCGCTTACCGTACACGTTAAGCCTGGCCGAGTGAGAGGACCGCCCGGCCCTGTTCTCTGCTGTACACGTGTATTCCCCGCCGTCCTCCACCATCACGTGGCTAATATTCACGTGACTGATGACGTCGCCGTGCACTGTTACGTACTGCCCAATCACGAACCTGCAACCAGTTCAGAAACACAACCTAGTTTACTCATATTGTGGTTCCCTGTGTGGTCTGGAAAATGGAGGCGGTGTATTCCTCCGAAACGTGGGTAAACATCTACACGATATCGGGCGACCATAATATGAATGTTCATTCAGCGAAAACCTCAAATCAACTGGACTCGTGTATTTGTCAGGCCGCGCCATAGCTCAAGCGGTTAGTCGCTGGCTTTCCACCGCGGTGGCCCGGGTTCGATCCCGGGTCTGGTCAAGTGGGATTTGTGGTGGACAAAGTGGCGCTGGGGCAGGTTTCCCCTGCCAATCTTCATTCCACCAATTGCTCCACAGTCACCCTTACCTATCATCTCGGGCTGGTACACTAGGCCAGAAGTGGCCGCAGTACAAGGGACTTAGTCCCGCCCCACTAGCAACAATAAACAAAAACGTATTTGTCAGAACAGACGGCCATGTTCGATAACTGACTGACGCACTTAACATTTGGTATGCAGGTTTCCTCAGGCGCTCCATATGCTTACCTTCGCGTGTCCGGCTGGGAACTCATGTCTTATATCGGCTGTGCCTCTGGCCGGGACTGAACTCACAGCCGTATGAATGCTAATCCGATATCCCAGCGGTTCAGTCAAAAATGTTTATCGAACTGTTCTGGGTTCCATTCCCTTCGTGAGAATGCAGAAATGTAAATCAGAAGCTTCTGTCAGTACAGTTAGAGCCAATCAACCGAAGGCGGTAGAAGGGACACTGCTGAAACGTCGGCGTGCATTAAACACACACACACACACACATACACAATTACAGTGCCTCACAGCATCGCCGCACTATAAGAGTACGTTACTACTACACTATACAGGGTGCTCCACTTAGAATGGTACCCTTGTAGAGAGATCCAATTTCAAAAGTAAGCGCATTTACGACACCTGAAACGCGTACATTCATAATTGTGCAGGTCTACTCCAGTCGGGAGCCGCATGAAGGGGAGCACTGGACCAAGCAGGATAGACCGACGTGTCATGCGGCCGGGACAACAATGGGTGTGCTCCATCAGCATTTCAGAGCCAATATCATTTCGAATGGACTGTGGCCACTCACATCCCAGGGTCTAATAACCGCTGACTTTACATCTGTGGTATTTTCTTACCAAGAAATTCGAAGAGGCAGTGACTGTTGCAAATGCAACCGGAAGATTTTGTGTGGGTATAAAACACGGCGTTCTCTCTTTGTGAACGGTTTCAAATTAATCATTGTTTGGAACACACTCTGTGATAAAACACGTGTTCCTTTGTGGACAGTTTTAAATGGATCACGCCCTATAAAAATGTCCCCATAAAAGCAAGAAGCTGCGGTGAAGCTCTCGCATTTACAATTCTCTCGGCTATTTTCGAGCTGAGACCGTGAACGTTTCTTCTCTGCCGCACGCCATATTCGAGGAAAAAAGATTTTTTTAGTTATGAACCATACCGAAAAGTATTCTCCTATTCAATATCCATAAAGTATCCACTCCTTTGTCTACAAAAATCCCTCTCTACGCGCGAAGCGAAAAAAAAAGTGTGGATGAATTTCATGTAGTAATAAAACATGGACATTTTCTTCTTCGAGGTATAAAAGCCGATGGATTGACAAATTATACAGCTCTGGGATGTCCACATCACACGGAGCTGCAACGACACGCCATTCAAGCGACGCTGCTCCCGGGCCATATCAGAGCGTCCAGCGTTCGCAAGAAGGACGCAAGTTACATTTTAGGTTTGAAGGTTCTCACAGAAGTGGCTATGAACAGTTCCTGCTTCCAGGGAAAAACAACCGATGTTTCGGAGAAATATACAGCCTCCATCTTCAGGGTCGAAGGGTATGCCAAGCAAGAAATCAGAATAAAGCAGGCAGGAAGCAAGGCTTCTCTGGACTTTAACAGGACAGAGCTCTTCACAATTTACATTTTGTTCGTTTTCAGGGTCAGTGTGTGTTCCACTTTCCAGCGAACTCGACGCGTCCCTATTGCTGATTCAGCCGTTTGTTTGACCCATCTCGTGTCGACCTCTTGCGGCTGTTTCGTGACCCAGAGCAATTAATGTACATGTCTCTTTTCTGAGATACAGTAAAATGACTTCATGCTCCTTACTCGTCGACCTTGAAGATGGAGGCAGTGACTCTCTCCGAAATGGCGATGAATTGTACCGGACTACACGGCGTTATATCATAGAAGATAGTATGCTTAAAAAATCTTCTTTGCTTTCCGCATTTCACAGTTTCCGCTAACATTTTCTGCGGTCAGACAGACAGTTTTCATGTAATCCAGGATCTAAGACGTGTGGTTTGAAAATCTGAGGATTGAAGCAGTAAGTTCCTCCGAAACGCCTATACCTATGTGCGGCGCCAGAAAACCTCACACGTTCGGGTTAAGTTCCTGTCGGAATGTTGGTAGCCGGTTCTTGCCCTTAGGGCCCAGCAGGCCACTGGAAGCCTTTGTGCTGTCCGTGACAATGGGCTGGTGGCCTCTTTCATCTGCCGTGTGACGGGTTGCAGACCTCGCGGGGCTGGATGCATCTCATTTCCGCGAAAGCTCTCGACAAAAAGCGGTCCACAATGCACGGAGACACACACACAACCCCCGCTATCAATAACACGAGGTTACGCAGAGGATCTCTCTGGCCTACTGCCAGACGCCCCGCAGCGCCTGTTCACGCGTTGTCTCGCATGTACAGTAAACCCTCGTTAATCCGGATAGAAGTATGAAAACTGAACAGTTCTGCTCACAGCTGAGTACCTACTTCAAGACATGGGATATAGGAGCAAGAGGACTCTCAGACTGTGTTGAGGGCAGCTGGAGAGACCGAAACCACGCAAGAAAATATCCAAGATTGGCTTAAGCTTGATGAATGAGGCCCTGTGTTTTATCTTCTGGCAGAGGAAGAAATGGTTGCAGTGATATATTTTTATTTGCTTCCATCAGCACTATCTATATTATTACATTTTCCATTTACTTGTTCCCTAAGTCTTTTTGTCTGTTAGGGCTAGCTTCTGCTTCACTACTCCGGATGACCTCCCTCCAATTAACCCGGATTAGCGGGGTTTAGTGTATGTAGTTGTCGGTTCCCATTACAACCCTCATACTCCCTACGGTTAAATGAACTGACCACACTCGTGTCTGGGCGACAGGAACATTCGTGTCAAGCATTTCGGCGCGTCTGCAGCGAGGAGCCGTGTAGCGGGGTAAGCTCCCTGCTAATTCTGACCGGAAAGCCTTCCGGTTTAACCGGATTAACCGGTTGAGCGTTGCTATGGAGACGGAGTGTGTTCCCTGTGAGGTACGGGCTTCAAGACACTAAAACTCTGCATTCTGCTCACACAGTGTATTTATGTGTTCCGTATGGTTCTCACAGTAAACAGTGATTATTTCCCTAAACAGCATTAACCGGTTGGGCGTTTTTATGGAGACGGAGTGTGTTCCCTGTGAGGTACGGATTTCAGGATACTAAAACTCTGCATTCTGCTCACACAGTGTATTTATGTGTTCCGTATGGTTCTCACAGTAAACAGCGATTATTTCCCTAAACAGCATTAACCGGTTGGGCGTTGCTATGGAGACGGAGTGTGTTCCCTGTGAGGTACGGGCTTCAAGATACTAAAACTCTGCATTCTGCCCACGCGCTGTATTTATGTGTTCCGTATGGTTCTCACAGTAAACAGCGATTATTTCCCTAAACAGCATTAACCGGTTGGGCGTTGCTATGGAGACGGAGTGTGTTCCCTGTGAGGTACGGACTTCAAGATACTAAAACTCTGCATTCTGCCCACACAGTGTATTTATGTGTTCCATATGGTTCTCACAGTAAACAGCGATTATTTCCCTAAACAGCATTAACCGGTTCGGCGTTATTATGGAGACGGACTGTGTTCCCTGTGAGGTACGGGCTTCAAGATACTAAAACTCTGCATTCTGTCCACACAGTGTATTTATGTGTTCCTTATGACTCACAATAAACAGCGATTATTTCCCTAAACAGCATTAACCGGTTGGGCTTTGCAGAGGATAAGCTATGTGTCTTCTGCGAGGTGGGAACTGAACTTCAGTTTTTAACGCGACCCGACTTTGGTTCACTGGAGGGCGCCGGTAACCCCCGTGGGATGTTTGCTGAAGCCATTACGTAAGCATATATATGTCGCCGGGAGGCTGAAATCAATTTCGCCGCTGGCAGTCGGCGGTACATCACTGCTAAGTGCGTGGTTAATGCTCGCTCTGCTGAAGCACTTTGCTTAAACACGCGATGTACACAACGCTTAATAAGGCTAAAGCAGCTGTAATGTCGAGTGAACTTGAATGCTTCATGTTATAAGGGGTGACTATGCTGCAGAGGGCGGGATTGAGGATGAAGTTCTGCCTTCTGCAGCCCCTTTAGTTATGACTGTAGTTACACGATAGTAACATCACAGAACATCTATTGATAGCACGAGGGTTCTCCGCTAATGGTTCGGCAATACAGAACAATTGAACCCCCCACCCCTTCCTTCCCCTACTGTTCCAGGGATTGGTAACTCGCTTGCAAGTTTCACAGAGTTCGAACGTGAGAGGTTTTGCAAGTGCAACATTATGGAACCCTCTGACCGAAGCAGTTACGTGTATAACGGGCATATCGAATTTAGTTCGGGCCACCGAGTGCTTTTATCAGAATTCCTCATTTGTTGTCCGCTCCCCAGCGGCGCTGTCACAGCTCATCAATGGGACCTCATACGAAAAGTGGACTTTCATGCAGTTTTTGAATGTCCTTTTTGGTCTCCATGAAAAAAGTCGTCAGTTTGTCCTTTCACTCCTGCTATGCCGCATCTCTACGGGCTCCGTCCCATGGCCCCAGCCGTCCCACATCGCCCCCTGACGCTAGACACAGTCTGTGAAACGTCGGACACCAAACTCCACACTGACATGGCGCATCAGAAAGCAGTTAACCTGCTGATGACCCTAGGCAGCACAGTCACTTTCGGTTTCGGGCCCCGTCGGTACCCATCATCACACTATTTCTCGTTCCAAGGCCAGTTCTACGTTTTGAAATGGGCCCTCTTCGACGATGGGGAGGGGGTCTGCCTATTTCCGTCCACTAAGAACACTTGATTATTTACAAATACAGTCCGCACCTCAAAGGAAACACACCCCCTCTCCATAACAAGGGTTGTTTAGGGAACCAATGTGGGCAAAATGAAGAGTATCTCTCAATGTTAAAGCAGGTGGTACATGTAGTTACCACTTTGTTTCCCTCTTTGTGGGCCCGCAGCTCCACGTCTGCGTGAATCGCCTTCAGCCGCTGCAGTCAGGGTTACTGCGGGCAGCACTGTTCATTTTGCAGGGGCTGGAGCATTCAGACAGAGCTTTCACGCCCGGCGGGCCCTTTCAGCGCATCTCTCATTCTGTCCCTACAGGGTGGGTGGGAAACTTCTGCAACCAACTTCACGGAGCAGGCAAATCCAGTTGTTGAGGGGGTACCGGGGCTTCAAGCTGTCCACTCACATACATCTAGAAACCAGGCGAAAAATGCGTGCAGTTACCCTCCACTCCTCCATACGTCTTCACGCGAGGAACTGGGCCCCAGAAATGTGGAGACGCGACGCAAGCCACGACTCGGTGGACGGACTGACGCACCTGCTCTGTCAATGGAAAACCACGAACATGGCAGTAGGGACGCCAACATCTGCACCTATCTGCGGTTGCAAGACTACGCGGCATCATGCCCCTGAAAGTGATCCTCGGACCAGTAGCAGCAGCTTCCCTGTGGCCTGGAAACATCGCTGGGCGCCCCAGAACTTCTCACTCTCAAAGCAGTCACAGGTTTTCCACTGGCGCTGTCTCGTGGTCTGTTAAATCTAATTCGAGCAGACATGTCTAATTTCGCAATGAATTTAGAGCCTGGTACTTGCTACATGGGCGCCGCGAGGGTGGGAAACCCTGCTTCTCCCTCCCTGGATTTAAAGTAAAACTCAAAACTGAAAAAAAATACCTTTACATCCAAACATATGCCGGCCCTCTCTACAGTTTAGCAGACATATGCCAGCCCTCTCTACAGTTTAGCAGACATATGCCGGCCCTCTCTACAGTTTAGCAGACACATGCCAGCCCTCTCTACAGTTTAGCAGACATATGCCGGCCCTCTCTACAGTTTAGCAGACATATGCCAGCCCTCTCTACAGTTTAGCAGACATATGCCAGCCCTCTCTACAGTTTAGCAGACATATGCCAGCCCTCTCTACAGTTTAGCAGACATATGCCAGCCCTCTCTACAGTTTAGCAGACATATGCCAGCCCTCTCTACAGTTTAGCAGACATATGCCAGCCCTCTCTACAGTTTAGCAGACATATGCCAGCCCTCTCTACAGTTTAGCAGACATATGCCAGCCCTCTCTACAGTTTAGCAGACATATGCCAGCCCTCTCTACAGTTTAGCAGACATATGCCAGCCCTCTCTACAGTTTAGCAGACATATGCCAGCCCTCTCTACAGTTTAGCAGACATATGCCAGCCCTCTCTACAGTTTAGCAGACATATGCCAGCCCTCTCTACAGTTTAGCAGACATATGCCAGCCCTCTCTACAGTTTAGCAGACATATGCCAGCCCTCTCTACAGTTTAGCAGACATATTGGCCTCTACAATTTAAGCATGGTGTCAGCCATTAGGGGAGCTCCATACCTGCCGTTACTGGGTAGGGGGAAGCCGTCCAGCGTCCACGAGATCTGTGGTGTTGGGTTGCCTGCAGAACTGCACTTCAGGGATACTGCAGGGCCCGGTTGCAGGGTCTGCTCGATAAAGCTGTACAGGAGGATGGGGGGTGCGTCTGAAACAGCAAGGCCTTGCTTGTAAACAATGAAAGCCCGCCGTACTCGTGCACATTGCCGAGTCTATCTGTGCCACTGCCGGAGCCTCAATCGGTGCGCAGAGACTTCCACTAAACACTGCCCCGACTCTGCCACGAGGACCCAGTTCCACTTTCCATGAAGCCAGAAACATAAAACTGTTAGCCACATGCTGGAGAAATTCGAGATGGCACATCTTCGCATAACGTTTTAATTTACAGACAGAGTGACCATCACATAGCCTACTGAAGACGGAGGCAATATAGTGACGTGTTCTTGTTATCCGCTGGTAACGATGGCTCAGACGGTCAAGACTTCCCTCCCCCGCGGTTCTTCTAGTTCTGCCTGTCCGGGTACAGCACTGGCTTCAGCACGTGCAACATCCCCCTGCAGCGGCTCCCTCCTCCTATTCCGGGGGTTCCGAGTTCAGTTCACGGCAAGGGCACCGGATATCATGACTCGAGGTTTTCGTACTAAAGAAACGAAAATTGTGGGTGTGAAACTTGGTTTCTGACATTAAAGGAGGAACACAGAATGAGGGTGTTTATTCACAGGGTGCTGGGGAGAATATTTGGACCGAAGAGAGATGAAGTGACTGGAGGTTGGGGAAAACTGCATAATGAGGAACTTCATAACTTGTATTTTTTTTTTCCTTGGCGCTACATCCCAGTGGGCCTAGGCCTACCTCCATGAACTTCTCCGTTAACTTCGGATTTTCTAGATCTTACTCATTCGGTAGGACTCCTTGGGCGGGTGATCAGCTCGTCGCAACGCCTCTACCTGTACACAAACACAGAAAAACGCACGCACACACACACAAACTAAACATCCATGCCCTGAGTGGGATTCGAACCCACGATCCCGGTTTCCAAGCGAGCGAAGACGGTACATGCCTTAGACCGCTCGGCTACCGTGACCGGCCTACTTGTACTCTTCTCCAAGTGTAATTAGAATGATCAAGTCAAGGAGGATGAGGTGGGCAGGGCATGTAGCACGAATGGGGGCGAAGAGGAACGTATATAGAATGCTGGTGGGAAAGCTGGAAGAAAAGAGGCCACTAGGAAGACGAAGACGTCTGTGGGGGAATATTAAAACGGATGTTAGAGAAATGGGATGGGTTCTTGGACTGATCTGGCTCAGGAGAGGGAATAGTGAAGGGCTAATGTTGGGAGACTGTTATGAGGCTCAGTGATCGGCGGCTTCTCGAGAAGAGCTGACCTACATGCAGTTTGTTAGTTAAAGCAACGCAAAGATTTCCCTGCACTTAATTAATTACATATCGTGTTACGAAGACGTGTTGGGAGGTGGAGGTATACCTCCAGTTGGTACATTGTTAGGCTACTGGCTGAAATGCTCGGGTTCGGTTCTCGCCACGAGCAAGAGATTCTTTTCTTGTCCAATGTTCAGGGCGTGAAACCGACCACTCACCTCCATCTAGTGCCGAGATCCAGAATCGTGATTTTCCTTAGTGCCTCCAGTATATACTGGGATAGTGATTGAGATTAGCTCTTTCTAAAGGGCCCAACTGAGTAGGTATCTTCCCCCTTGACCTGAAGACGGAAACAGATCCAGTTTCCGAAACGTCGTGTTTTCTGTTTTCTACAATAGGGGGACGATGGTAAAAGCCCAACCCCCCCTCCCCCCCAGTAATTTTGTGCCGTCTAAATGGGTTTGGGGTTGCGTCATCATCACATGCTGCACTCCATTTACAGCACGCAGCGGGGGCGGAAATCACTCCGCTGGGGATTTCCTTCAGGACACGGCACTCGATTCAAATATGTTTCGGACCAGTGGTTCACAAAGCGGGCTGGAGGTGGGCCCCCCAACCGCGGTGTTGGCTTATTTACGGCTGAAGTGACTTTAGACGAGACGTACGGAACCTGGTACCCCGTCATCAAGCCCATCCATTGCAGTAAGAAGCAGTCACTAAATTGTATTGTATTACCTTCCTGAGCGGGTTGTGCTAACCGCTGTTCCTGTAACAGGCCGTGGAGGCCCATAGCGTTGTGAGACGTCGAGGCTCCCACATTTTCCCTAGACAATCAGTTGTCAGCCTTACGCGCCGGCCGCCCTTTACCCCCAACCCAAGAAGATTCCTGATACTCATTTCTGTTAGAGACTGAGACGACCCCAGGACCATAGTGCCGCTGGAAGGGTTAGGTAAATTGAAGAAATCCACCTCATCGGGACTCGAACCCACAATCTTCAGGATTGTAGCACAGTGCCTCAACCAACTACATTACTGCGTGCCCCAACCCCTTTCGTGAAGAATGCTTTTTATATGGTTGGGCAGAGGGCACTGCGAATAAATTTGAGGCCCCCAAAATTTGCGAACCGCTGGCGTAGACAGACAGTACGTACGGTGTTTGCAAGAAGAAAGTTTCCAACCCCTGGCAGCCGACTGGTGAAGCGTAGTAGCGGAAGTGGGGGGGGGGGCTGCCCCATTTGACGGTACATGCGTTGCCAACATAAATTTCGGGTTCAATGAAGCTAGTGACATATTTAGCTGTAATATTGCTAACTATGATATGAACATCGCTTTGAACACGGAACCTTGTAAATTAGTCACACATCAACAATCGAAACCGATACTTGGAAAAGGGACCATGTCCAATGGCGCACACAAGGAGATGAGCCCTTTCGGAGCTGACGGCGTCAGCTACGGACCTGGAACAGACGCATTAACGTTCACTTATTGGCAACGTCTGTACTAACGTTCGTGTTATTTGAGCTCCGCTGCTGAGCGTCCCCCGGTGAAAACACGGCGTCCACAATCGGCCTCATATTTACTCACCACTACGTGACAAGGCAAAGTTACCGGGCCATGAAGATTCTTGACCTGGGCACTAGATGGACGTGATTGTTGAGCTTCACGCCCCTGCCGCTTTAGCCCCAGGGTAGGAGGGTTGGTGGGCTCGAGATCAGGTCTGGATGGCGCGGAGTAGACATAAACCTCTTGCCACTGCCCTGATCCGGAGTTACAGTTAGTTACAGTCGGGTCAGGAACAGAATGAACACAGACTATCCATCATACGGCTACCTAGCAGCTGCCTTCCCCACTGCCACCAGCTCCCATTTGAGTTCCGGCTTTCGTTCCTTCTACAGGACCTCCCTCTCATTGCGTTCTCGGCTTCCGCAGTTTGTGTGCTCCACATGACAGCGACTATTCCCCCAAAGGAAACTGAACAACTGAGGCAGGGGCAAGTGAAATGTTAAACTATATTTGGAAGAAGCTGAGCGTCGCACAATTAACATCCTTTTTTTTTCGCTTCTCGGCGCGAACTGCCGCTGCGTGTCGAGCTGTCAGGGCAGAGCCAGGCGATTTCATTAAGATATGGGACTCCCCTGTTACTGCGCTCCCGTGGTGAATACAACGGACCTGGGGGACGCACATTCATGTCTCTTAGTCGATATATCGACTATAGAACTCGCAGACTTATCTCCAAGTGCTGACGCTTCCGATTAAAAATCGAATGAATCTGCGACGAATATCGACTAGCAATCCGAACGTTTTGACTGGAGTTTAAGCAGTTTTCCCTTAGCTTTTGCGCTGCAATTTGAAGGAAACGTATCAGCAACTTGAAGTGGCAATAGGACTGCAAGCAAATGACCCCATGAAGTGTACTGAACGTAGCCGAACTTTCATGACGAGTTCCGTTGCAAAAGAGTCTCTAAATATCGGAGAGTTTAACCGTTGCCTGAGAGCAGCTCTGTAAGTACTGAAATTAGGGGCTGGGTAAGAAACTGTACTCGTATCTCCAGTTTTGAAGGTTCCCAGGCAATGCCCACTTGTCCTTCTGGTATACGTAGAGCATATGATCAGATTTTTCATTTGTTTTTATTTATTTTATGACGCTGGAAGGGGAGCATTATAGCAAAAGTTTAGCTAACGTTGGGAGGGCTATATTAGGGCGAAATTTTGATGTTAACAATGGGAGGGCTGCATGTGGGGCACGCAGTGCAACGTGGAATTGGGTACCAACTCTGCATTTGCTCTAGTACCGAGGAAAACCACGGAAAACCTTGGTCGAGCTGGCCGGTCTCAGGACCTTCCGGATGCAAACTGACTTCTAGCCAGCAGTGCGGCTTAAATACGCGAACCCTAACATTGGACCCTATCTGTGCTGTTGCTTTATTTTCAAAGTTTACGTGTGTTTCTACAGTTTTTTTTTGCATAGTTCGGATGAGCGGCAAACAGGTATGTATCACATTTGCAGGGGTTGTAACTGCGTAAGCACTGATAAATTTAAATCTCTATTGTGGAGGATGCTTTGAGGCCTGAAATTCATATAAGAGTTCGTACGTCACAGGGAACACACTCCGTCTCCATAACAACGACCATCCACTTAATCTCATCTAGGGAAATAATCGCAGTTTTTCGCGAGATTCACACGAGATCCATTCGTACACTGTGGCGGGAAAAATTATTTTTTTAATGTTAAAGCAGGCATAATGTATTATCACTGCCCCGTGGCCTGTAGTCTACAAGCGAACTATACCGACCGAGCGACCGCCGCTTGTCGGCGAAGTTAGTGCCAGCTTTAGCGGATAGAGGGTGTCATGTGATCAGCGCAACGGATGCCCACGGCCGTTAATTTCGGTTTCCTAAACCGGAGCCGCTATTTCCTTAAAATAGCTCCTCAATTATCCTTATGAGGTTAAGCGGACCCCGTTCCAGACCCACTACTTCTCAGAAAATCTGGTAGCGACGGAATCGAACCCGGGACCTCTGGATCTGTAGCCAGGAACCCTGACCACTAGACCACAGAAGTGGTCATCACTGCCTTCAGGGGATTAAAAATTTCTGACTTGTGAACCTCGGCGTCTCCTAGGAGTGGCGTCCCTAGCGCTGGAAACAGGCGCTCCTTGTTCCGGGATCTTGGCGGAAGTTCTGTCGCGATTTCCTCTAGCCGCATTGCCACTGCGTTCTGTACAATTCGGAAGTGAAGCCGGAACAGGCGGACGCACACTCTGGAACTGCGGACCCGTCGCTAACAACTTCCGGTGCGTTCGCAATGAAAACCTCTCGATTTCGTCATTTCAACGGGTAGCGCGGATTTTTAACAACGCCATTTTCTTTCTCACTGATACCACTTAAATTTGCAGCAGCTGATGGGCCGCCACTGTAACACGCAGGTGCCAGCTCGATGTAGCTACATGCCATTCCCTTCAGAACGAAACGGGCAGTTACTGCAGCGGCCACTGCGTGCAAAGTTCGCTCTGCTAATTCAATTGTTCTTCAAAGGACGTCGCCACTTTGCACACCTCCGAGCACCAATAAAATGGAAGGTGTCTCCGTCCCTCACTCTACCATCCATTACCCAGCAGGCCTTTGTTCGCGCTCAGTACAGCAGCAGTCAAATCACGTGATACACCTCCGGTGGCACTGCCTATACCCTGCCAATGTTTTCAGCGTCCCGAAGGCAGAGAACTAGATTCTGTGATGTGACGCCGTGTTGTCTGATACACGCTCGTCAACGTTTCGGAGGAACTTACTCCCTCCATCTTCGAGGTACAAGAACAGAAGCCTGCCTGCTTCTTGTCTAACTTTTCTATTCTGAAGATGGAGGCGGCACCTTCCTCCGAAATATCGGTGAAGTACTACCGGACATCCCAGAAGACAGTTCCTTCAAGTCAGGACGGACGCGTCCTCTGAGAAGAGCAATACACTGAACAGATGTAGCAAACAGAACCGCACGAAAATTAGTTCCATTTAGGGAAAATTGAAAACGAAATCTCTCCAGAACTGCAAGTCTGTTAACTCTGTCGAACGGTAGGTAAGACGAGTTCTTCTCAAGCAATAAGCAGAAAAACTGGTTGATGAGGTTCTCAAAATTATTAGAGTTACTTAAACTAACACTCTGGGGTTCGAAGTCATAACCCCCCCCCCCGGACGCGCCCGCCCATCATATGAAATTTGTTCGATGCAACTGCAACGGCATGGAAGTGTCCACGCTCTTCTTTGCAGGTGTGAGGACCATGTGCTTCTACGCCGGAAGCTTCAAGACTTTCCACTTAAGGGGCACGTATAATTCCTGGAGACCGTGCTGTATACAGATTTCTATGTTGTCCTTGCCGGGAATCGAACACAGATCCCTGGGCCGTCCAGCCCGTACCCGTCACCCGGCTCTCACCATGTACTAGCAGGTAATAAAATAAGGATGGGATGTGCGGGGCATGTAGAATGCATGAGATGCCAAATGCATACAACTTTGTAACACCAAAACCTTAGAGGGAGATTATGCTTGGGACACTTCAGCATGGACAGGAGAATAATATTAAAAAGAACGCAAAAGATATGTAATGTGGGAGTGTGGGCTGGACTCGTCTGGCATAGGACAAGAATCAGAATTGTCTCTTGCCAATGCGATACTGAACTCTGTAGTTCGAGAACGGCGGGAAATTTGAATGACTCAGCAATTAGTAGCTTTTGAATAAGAACTCTAGTCGTTGGAGCTTGTTGCACGGAGTAGCAAGGACAAAATTCTACAGAAGGTAGTACTTAGCCTTTCAGTGAACATCACCACCTTACCACTAAGAAGTCTGAATTCTGTCCACACAGTGCATTTGTGTGTCCCGTATGGTTCTCACAATAAACAGCGATTATTTCCCTAAACAGCATTAACCGGTTGGGCGTTGTTATGGAGACGGAGTGTGTTTCCTGTGAGGTATGGACTTCAAGATACTAAAATTCTGCATTCTGCCCACACAGTGTATTTGTGTTCCGTATGGTTCTCACAGTAAACAGCGATTATTTCCCTAAACAGCATTAACCGATTGGGCGTTGTTATGGAGACGGAGTGTGTTTCTCTGCACAAGAGAAACTGAATTTGTATATATTATTAAGATGAGCCTGAGGCCATGAGAATGATTGTAAAAACTGGCAAAGAACTACACGCAACTGTGCACAGCTCCTGCCCGAGGCGAGCGCAGACAGCACAGCCGGCAGTCTGTTCACTGCCACATTTTGCCTGCGCTAATTGCTAACGAAACAGACATCACTCTTAATTAATAATTCCTACTTATTATAACGAGCTCAGGGACTGACGGGGCAAAACACGCCTTAGGATCCCCACAGGGCTCGGCTCCACCTAGCCCCAGATGCAACAGCGCAGAGCTCTCTTGAGAGGAGGCCACACGTGTTCAGTGTACATGCATACACACATTATATGTACAGGTATACAAGTATACAGGGTGTAACTAAAACGTGCGGGGGAGATCACATAACACATTTCATTTGTGAGTACATTTAGCGCGCTCCTCGACACGCATGGACCGTCGCGTCCGTTCAGAGATGGCGGGGCAGTTGCGGATGCTGACTGCGACGGTCAAGGGCCTCTCTGTTGTCAATAGGAGCTGCATACACAAGACTTGTTAGGTGTCACAGAGTGGAGTCCATGCAGTGGGTCCTCCTTTACCTACACATCGGACATGATGGGTGTTACTGGAACATCTCGCACAGCACAGAGCACCATCATGCATGTACCGCACTCGTGCTCTGTCTGTAACATGCGGACCTACCAAAGACCCACCAGCAATCCCTGCCGTCTTTCAGCTGTAACTGACAAAGTAAATGTGTCCGGACACTGTCCGCCCTTTCAGTTGCTTTACTAAGCGGTAACTCGGTCGGGATGCGCGACTTACCGCCCAGCTGCAGCTCCGCCGCCGCCTGGGCCGTCTCGCCCTCGGCACGCCGCACCACGCACTGGTACATGCCCCGGTCCTCCCGCCCCACGCCGGGGATCACAAGCCTGTCCCCACTGCTTCTGGCCGCCCCCGGCAACGGCCGTCCGTCTTTGAACCACGTGATGAGGAGCGACGGAGACGCCTGGAGCGGCTGCTGAGACGCCTCTATGCAGCGGAACTCGGCGCTGCCACCCAGATGCACGCTCAGTAATGGGGGCGTCACCTCCACATGCAAGGGCGTCGCGACGACCAGTCTCAGCTCTGCACTTGCTTCACCTCCGGCGTTGCTTGCAGAACAACGGTACATACCGGCGTCTTCTGACGTCACAGCTTCTATCACTAGGATCGGACCCAAGAGCCGGATTCGTGGCCCGGGCAGGACGGACACGGGCTCCGCCCCCGACTGCAACGTGTACCACCTGTAAATCAGTTTTGCTCACGTGAGTGATGCAGCAGTCAAATGCTTTTGTATGGGAGGCACTGGGGATCGTGTACTGCGGGCTGCTGTTCCAGCCATTCTGCGCTAATGAAATCATCAGTTCTGCTTCCAGTCTGGGCGTCGCGGACCCCAAACGACGTCACATTCTCCTGTCTCTTCAGGCCCTCGTGGCGGAAGGGCGTCTCACCAACGTCTTCGCGCACCGAAAACAGCACACTCTGCCAGTGGTAAGTATTATTAGTACGCGAGGATAGTATTAAAACGGAGTTGGAGAGATTGTGGACCGCATCCAGCGGGCTCAGGACTCAGTTCAGAGGCGCGCTTTTGTGAAGATTGTAATGAACCTTTGGTTACATGTAGGAGAGGGAACTTCTTGAATATCTAGGCGACCAGCAGCTGTTGAAGCTTTAGATTTAACAAGTATGATGGTCGGACAGGCGCAGAGGGGTAATGGGGTTCGAAGCATGAACCTTGAAACCGAAAGTTATGGCCGAGAGGCCTGCTCCCCTCACAGAGCAGTGCTCAGGTTGAGGAAGCGTCACTTAATAAGCAGAGCGGCAATGAGCCGCTGACGGTTTGCAGTGTGCCTGCCATTACTCACGCCGTGTCGTGCCCATTCCATGGAGGATTAATTGCATTTGATGGCACAGTTACACGCGAAGCGTGAGCAGAACAATGGCTCGTATGAGGTCCACTTGCTGCTGATTGATATCATCAGGTATCATAGGAATGAGGTCACCACACAGAACGTAGGATCATCAATAATACCCAAAATATAAATGTGCTCATCAAGACCAATGCAATTCGCTCTATGGTTTAAACCTTTAAAGCACCGTGTAGCACATGCCAACAACTCTGCATTCTGCCCACACAGTGTATTTATGTGTTCCGTGTGGTTCTCACAGTAAACAGCGATTATTTCCCTAAACAGCATTAACCGGTTGGGCCTTGTTATGGAGACGCAGTGTGTTTCCTGTGAGGTACGGACTTCAAGATACTAAAACTCTGCATTCTGCCCACACAGTGTATTTATGTGTTCCGTATGGTTCTCACAGTAAACAGCGATTATTCCATAAACAGCATTAACCGGTTGGGCGTTGCTACGGAGACGGAGTGTTTTCTGTGAGGTAGGAACTGAATTTTTATATATTATTTGGGCACAAGAAATTCCATGCAATTCCGTGTGGAGGCGGCTTCTAATACCTGAACCGTAGCCCTGCGAGCCGTAGGAGGCGACGAAAATGGAACCCAATGCCTGGGGGTATAACTGGGACACCCTGTCCCTGGGGCATGTATAAATACGGGGACCTGGCCTTCCAGGCTGCGGGAGTCTCGAATCTGAGATACTAAAATATGATCGTAAGTCTCTTGGGACTTCGACCCGAGAATGACTGAGCTGGCGAGGACCAATAGCAGTTGTAAACGACAGACCCGTTCTCTCGTCAGAGAGAGCGCCCCACATCAGCAAACCCTCAACTGTCTGACAGCAACAGAAATCTGGTCTTGAGCCCAAGATGGGTGCTCGACACCGAGACAGACTGGCCGACTGGACGTCGGTCCTAACATAACTCTGACTTGACTTGACTTTGATGAATTTCACGCGCCAGACGATTACATTTATGCAGTGACGTCACCTTATCCCAGAAAGACAGAATTTCCTGGTTACGCGTACCTATGGAACATGACACTGACCAGAGCGGCTGAAACGAGTGCGTGTGACCCCGCCTGGGCTGCTCCGTCGGCCTCACATGAATATTCAGATGTGGTACAAATCATTTATAACAGTCTGTACCTCGCTTTTTGGAGCTCAGAAACACGGCACGAATTTTATTATTTTAACTATGTATAAACACACACACAAACACGAGAGGAGGAAATTTTGTTATAACTTTCCCGCAAAGAATCACACAGCAGTGGGACGTTTCACGTTTGTGCACAGGTCGCGCCTCTGCCCGTCATTCAATGCTTGCGAGCCCAAGGCTGCAGGCCTGCTGATTAAGTCATGTAACGGTACTTCGTCTGTTCTGAACACACTGACTGACCTGCAGTCCATTGTCTGTACACAGGTTGGCATGGCGGTAACGCTAGCTATCCTGAGGTTTCTATTCTTTTCCTCAGTCCCTCCAGGCAATTTATAGAATAGTATGACCCCTTCCTTCCGAGTCCTTTCCAATTCACCAATGATCTATCGTGCTGACACTGGACGCTATGTAGCCTAGTCACTGACACCTGCCCTCCTGCAAAGAGAAGTGACGTCATCATAACGCGAGGGGCCACTGGGTTCAGAGCGCTACTCCAGCAACTCATAACTGAACCGAAAGTAATAATTAATTGCGTTCCATTTCTGCAGATAGCTGGACGCCGCGATTAAATTCCGTCGATAGTTTCTGCTTAGATTTCCCGTGGCGAGGGACTGGGTCCTGTGCGTAATTACAAAGTTACAGCCTGACGTGGCAACTTCCCGAATGGTAAATCCACCGCGATCGAACAGACTTCTCTCTTCTAGAGACAGACAGTCCAGTCCCCTGTCCCACGTCGCTAATAACTCTGCTGCATTGCAAGGCCAGCAGGTTGCGAGAGCCACACGGAACACATAAATACACCGTGAACCTTAAAGTGGGTGGTATATATATTTACCACCGTGCTCTAAAGGGTTAACAACAGCTCAGCATGATGGTATAGCAGTATCATCGTGAGGTGAGTGGTTGGAAACTCGACCAAGATACTGGCTGTCTTGTACGAGGTTTCTCGTAGTTTTCCCCAGTCACATCCAAGTGTGCCTCAGTTCCGTCACTGAGATGCATAGCCACGCATTTGAAACGGGAAGTTATGAACTGTAAGGGATTGTGCGGCAGAAGGCTTTCTAAACCACTAGACCTAGACGTAGAAGGCAGTTGAACAAACAGGAATGCGAAGACCAAAGGGACGGAGATACAGATAGAGGCGGCTTACGTGGCAGAAACCACAAACCTAGCGGACTATATAGAAGGAACAGAAGATCAACCGATGAAAATTGTTAGGACACACCAACGCAACACAAGTTCTTCGCCGAACACAGCCTGCAAGCACACGAATTTTTTACATAAAAAGGCAATAGCTCAGAACACAAAAGAAAAGAATGCACGGACAATACCCACGCAGCTTAGATGACACTCTGGTGGATAAGGAACAGACCTATCGATGGTTGAAATTTGGAGGCATTAAAAGGGAAACAGAAAGTTTAATCGTAGCAGCTCAGGACCAAGCAATCAGTACAAACTATTTTAAGAGAAAAATATTGAAAGAAGAGATCGGAAGTAAACGTCGACTGTGTAAAGAATACGAAGAAACTATAGACCATTTAACATCAGGGTGTCCCGTTGTGGCGAAGAACGAATATATAGTAAGGCATGATAAAGTCTGCATGCATTTACATTACTCAATATGTAAAGAATTTGGAATTGAAGTACCAGACAACTGGTACTCACACGTGCCTAAGTCAGTATGTGGACATGAGGATATAACGGTGTTATGGAACCAAGGCGTACAAGCAGACAGAGAGGTTCTGGCAAACAGGCCAGATATAATAATTAAAAACAAGCAAAAGACAACTTGCATACTTATAGATGTATCAGTACCATCGGACAGGAATGTAGTACAAAAAGAAGCAGAGAAGAAATTAAAATATAAAAATTTAAGCATCAAAATTCAGCGAATGTGGAACATGAAATGTTTTGTGATACCAGTAATTATTGGAGCCACGGGTACAGTCACGAGAGGGTTGAGAATATATTTGGAACTAATTCGTGGTAAGCATTCCATAGGTTCACTCCAAAAAACAGCTATCCTGGGAACATCACACATACTACGGAAAGTGCTACAGTGCGAAGCTTGAAGCCTGAGTGGTGAGGTGCATCACTGGTTCAAGAAAAGGAATCCCTGTGACAAGAGATGATGATGATGATAATAATAATGATAATAATAATAATAATAATAGTCTGTACTCGTCATATACCATTTGAGTGGTCATAACGAGGATAATATGGGCAGGACATGTAGCAAACACGGCAGAAAATGCATACAAATTTGGTAGGAAGAACTGAACGAAAGAGGCTAGTAGGAAAACGCAAGCGTAAATGGGAAGATATTATTAAAAATGGGCTCGAAGCAATGGGATGGGAAAATGTTGGCTGGATTCATCTGGTTCAGGATAGGAAAACGTGAGCGGGCTTTGTGACCAGAGAAACGAAATTTCGGGTTCCATAAAATGTTGGGGACTTGCTGAGTAGTTTAGCAACTATTAGCAGACGATGACAAGAGATAACGGGCTTACCTGTAGTCTGGCGCCGGACAGCCCTGAGAGACGCACAGTAACACGGCGCCTTCATCTTGGGCCACGTGGACAGTGCCGGTGTGCTCCACAATGGCGGGGGGCACAATCCCCCTGTGTTCTGCAAGAACACGGGAAAAGCGGTTTCATGATTTAATATGTTCTGAATTCTGGGGAACGGTGGCGGTCTGTGTTGTGACACCGGGGGTACCAGTGTTTCGGGGGAACAATGTTATTCCATCTTCATCGCAGAACCCTAGATACTGAAACTGCTTTGCATCATCGATGTTCAGTCTTTCGATAAGTACATGAGATGACAGTTCTTGAACTTGGAACTTTGGTTGTTTCCTAACGCTTTAACCAATCAAGTCTCAGTGGTTACTATATATACCACCCGCTCTGCATTCTGCACACACAGTGTAACTGTGTGTTCCGTATGGTTCTGACAATAAACAGCGATTATTTCCCTAAACAGCATTAACCGGTTGGGCGTTGTTATGGAGACGGAGTGTGTTTCCTGTGAGGTACGGATTTCAAGATACTAAAACTCCGCATTCTGCCCGCACAGTGTATTTATGTGTTCCGTATGGTTCTGACAGTAAACAGCGATTATTTCCCTAAACAGCATTAACCGGTTGGGCGTTGTCATGGAGATGGCGTGTTTCCTGTGAGGTACGGACTGAATTCTTATATATAATTTGGAAGAAATTAAGTTCTTAAAGGGCTAAATAAAACCTGTTTCATTTCCTTCTAGAGATACCAGCAGTGTAATTCTATAAAATGAGCACTCAGCTACGCGTTAAGAAACCATCTACAGTCCGTAACACCTCACACATGGCGTGTGTGATGTGCCCATAGACACGCACCCAACTGCACCTTCCTACCTCGCTCTGTGCAGCCCCAACTGCGTGCGTGAGTGCGTCTGAGGGTCGAGGCTGGGGTCCCGCCGGGCAGGACCCTGTCCAGCAACGGACCGCAATGGGTAAGCAGCAGAGACAGGAACTTGTCACCCTTTCGGTGCTAGGAACCGGGTGCTAGAGGGGAGGGGCGTCCCTGCCGCAGTGCAAAACGGAACCGAGCTCGCATGGCAACGTTTAGACTTGTAGCGCAGTGTGTGCCCGATTTATGGCAGAACCAGCGGAACTGGTGGCTCTGTGGAAACATATCGGTACATGATGTGATCAAAATGTAGGTGGTTCACTGCTTCCTTCTGAAGGCTCAGTGCAGCGTCACAAAATAGAAACACGTGGATTCACTGTGACGCAACATCCCGCCAGGGTTCGCGGCTTTGATTTGAAATATTAGGAACAAAATGAGACATTTGAATACAGGCTGAGACACTAATGTACAGTTCGAGAAACTTACGCAGAATGATATTGTAATTTCATTAAACGCGTTTCGCTCACGCAATCCCCGATGAAGAGGCCTTGGCGCTGGGCCTGCATTTACCCGAGTTTGAAGTGGCACAATGTTCGGGCACCCAGAGAAAACGCAATACCAACGTACTTCCAGCGCTGTAGTCCTCTGAAATGTTGGTACCCACCTGCCAGACTACACGGTCTCATAACAGAATGCCACTATATATACAGCATGTGATATAGTACTCCAGAACCTAACTGCTGTTTCCCGCTGCGGACCTAACAGAGAACAGCCACAGATGTTACGGCCGTTACAGCGACGTGCAAATTTTGCGGGAGAGTTCTGGGTGTGACACGGATCCTCATTCACAAGAAGCACTCTTTTGAATTCCATCAGTAACCGTGAATATCTTCAGTTGAGTGCTACTCCTCCCTCAAAGCTGTCCCCCTAATCAAGTGCTGCCCGCTTTAGTCGCTACGTACTGTGACCCTAGCAGCCAATATGGCTACAGACAGGCTCAAACAGCCTCCCTCTGTACCGAGATCGCGTTCCAGATGCAATTTCACAGCGCAGCGGGTGACCTCGTGATGAGAAAGGGCGCCATGTTGGAGACCGACTGAGAGAGATTTTCCTAGCGTCTTGTGCCTTGTGGCAAGATGGCAGACCTGCATGGTGCCGGCTGTCACTTTCAGCCACGGCGACGCAGGACCGAGATACAGTCCCCCAAAGCGTCGCGACGACTTAGTGTCCCTCTGGGGAAACTGAAAGTCTCTCATACGACATCTGGACTTATCACGGCGCGAACTGTATTCTGCGATGTTACGTCGTCTAGTCCGCTGAAAGTCAGCCGACGTTTCGGAGGAACCAGCCCATTTCCTTTCATCATCTCCCTATATCTGTACCCTTTGTATTCCCGTGTGGTTTGTTATTCTGCCCTGAAGACAGAAATGTCAAGTTCCTCCTAGACATTGATAACCTTGCACCAGACTACACGGTGTCACATCCAAGAAGACGGAAATCATTCGGTTAGGCAATAAATTTATCCGCCTTGTAAGAAATCGGAAAATTCCTTACCATTCTGTCGATAGCTTCACCCTGCCTGTTGACCATCCACTGTAACAACATCCTCACATCTATGTCTAGGTCTTCCCTTCAGGTTTTCTCCGTTTTTCCAATGCATGCAACATACTCTGCCCATCTCATCCTTCCTAATTTGATCAGTCTAGTAATGAAGATTTCTATCTTCTTGGACGTAACGTCGTGTAGTCCGTTGAAAATCATCCGACGTTTCGGAAGAACATGTCGCCTCGATATTCAGAGCTGAATAGTAGGCCAAGTATGAAACCAAAATGAAGCGGGTAACAAGCCAAACTCTGCGACATGTTCGTCAGAAACGTCGGCTGACTTTCAACTCCGTATGTGGCGCAGAGTACGGCACGCGAATTGCGAAGCTCATCATGTAATTTTCTCCAGTTTTCTGTTACTCCCAAACATTCCCCTCAACATCCTGTAACGCCGTGTATCTTGTTACATGCAAACATGCTGCTTCCATCTTCAGGACGGAAGTTCAGCAATGACTAATGTAAGGCAAACGCCATGCGAATGCAACTGGTACTGGAAAACATCCACAAATTCTCTGTGGAACACTATTTACATGTTGGTAATTACAAATATGGCTACGATGCGAACAGTTGGCGTCAGGAGTGTCCAAGAACTTCTCGCCAGCTTTAACATTCGCAGTTCGTAGTTTGATTGTTCCGTATTGCTGTAAGTGAAGATGTGCGTGCGCTGTACGCGTCTCCTGTTGCAGCGACGCTCGGCACCCCAGATGCAGCTAATCCGGGTCGGAACACGGGAAATGCTGTTCAGTGTTGAGAACACGCTTCAAGAGACATGTGGCATTTAGGCAGGCAGATGAGTCGCTTGTCTGTTCAGACAGAACTTCGCAGTCTTCAAACCTTCATTACAAGCTCAGCTTCTGAGTCTTCTATCGATGAATAAATGTATTGCCTTCTTATAGCGCTCTAAACAAAGGCTCTGCAGTGATATTTTGCTATGTATTTTCATCAGCATTTCTCGCATCGTTACATTTTACATTTATTTGTGCTCTAAGTGTTTTGTCTTTTATGGCTACCTTTTGCTGCACTAATCCGGATGACCTCCGATTAATCTGGATTAGCGAGAGGTTACTGTACATTTGACCATCGATTTTCCCCATGCACTCCCAAGGAAATCATGCTATCCTCGTCTATGGCATTCTCAGACACGGCGGACAGTGCTTGCTGGAAAGGAAGGGGGGCTCCGTCTCAGCCACTGATGCACTCGTGCACAACTGCGTGAGCTTCCAGAGCTCTTGGCGCGTCTCTTGCGGTACCCGCGGCAGAGGGTGAGAGGGTTATGTTCTGATACTGTCTACTTACTGCTCGGAAGGCAAGTTAAGTGCGCGGTTTCCTCGGCTCGCGCCACCCAGTTTGGGAACCAGTGCGTGAGCACTCCTTGGCCCCGTGCGGCCCCTACACGCCCACTGCTCCTCGCTGCAAGTTTAACCACAAAGCCCCCGCGTTCACCGAACCACAAATTGCGACAAAGTGGCCGTCATCAATTGTACGCTGCCTCTGTCTACTGAATGACGCGATAAACAATCATTCCGGCTGGCAAGTGGCCAGTGAATGGGCTCCGTGTTTCGCTCACTCGTTCGAATCCCGTTTGTGGCATCAGCAAAGTGCGGAACCGAAAGCAACGGCAAACATCAAAGAGACTTCTTCAGGGGTTTCTTAACTGTTGAAACAAGTCCGACTTCATTCCCCTGGGCACTCCGTTTATTCAGGAAGCACTTTAATATTATACTGACATGCACATCTAGTTCCTCAAGCGGTCATTTCCTCTCATGCTTCCCGACTAAAATTTTGTAGGTATTTCTCATCTCTGTCATGTGTGCGACATATTTGATTGCATTTTGAGAAGATCACAATTTACGGAGTTTCGCGCTATAACGCTGTCTCCGTCTTCCCGTTATTTCTCGCAACAAAGGCGAAACAAAAGCAGACACAACAGCGTGCAAGATCACGTCACCACATGGCATACATGCCTTCAATGGTCTCAGTACGATGTGATGGGTGGAACGTATAGCAGGAACGGAGGAAAAAGAACTGCATACGCGGTTCAACTGCAGAATTTTAAGGTGAGAGAGCAATTTGGAAGACCTGGAAGTAGATGCGGACCAGACCGAACGGGGTCTGTGACAGGTTCTTGTGGAGGAAGTGGCGATGCTTGAGAGTGGACGAGTGTGGCTCAAGAGACGCAGACTGTACACCCCTGCTACGTGTGTGCAGAAACATAATGCTGAATTATTTGCACAGCTGGCATGACGTCAGCAGCGATGGAACCCGGAAATCGCTTTGCTACGATCATCTTGTGAGACGATTTAGCTTCCGGCGAGAAGGCTTTACGTTACTACCCCTCCCCCATTTTCGTGCTACGACGCCTAAAATTCTACTTGACATCGGTTTCAAGAGCTCTTCACAGACGAGCATCGAGTTCCGTTCCAATATTTAGAAATCCACAAACAGTTCATGCACGCTGAGATTCTGTACTGGGCCCATCGTCCGGTACAAGTCTCACAGAGCCTTGACAGAGTAGGCGCCTCCCAACCCCTCACATTAGCTTCCAAAACGCTGAGTTATTTAGAAGACCGGACGATACACAAGTCCATAAAACCAGTAACCTCTGAGTGTTGTTCCACCATCGTCAGAACCCTTCAGG